AATGAAAGACAAGTTCTTACAAGATTTTTATTGTTAGAAATGTCCAAATCATCCCATAATATGGGAACAACATTTCTACACCAACGACGGTTTACAAGAAGACAAGAAAATAAAGTTTTATAATTGCCTTTAAGATTGATAAATATTTCAAAAAAGGCATTCGTTTGGTAATGGTATCATTTTAAAAGGTAAAAAAAAAAACCACAGTAGTTGTATTGCGGTATATTTATTTTCGGAGTTCGGAGAACTAACGTTGTGCAAATAACAAACTACGTATAAATACGTAGCTTCATTTATAAATTTTCAAATATTGCTATATTTAGTAGAAAAGTTTGCCTGCTCTGCTGTAAAAGGATTTATTTAATACACTAAAACGTTTCTTGCAGTAGCTTCATGGACAGCATGAATTAGAACAAATATGGATTTTACAAATTTCATGGACCAAAGGTTTTACAAATATATATTAGGAAGGCCAAAAGCCTAGTAGAAAAAAAGATTATAAAAGCTATAGTTATACCATTATAGTAATGATTTGTTAAAACTTTTGATTATTAGATTTTTCGTCAGATAGCTATTTACTCTTACATACATAAACACATACATACATACATATATACATAGGCTTCTCACCAGAAAATGCATTAGTTTACAGTATTGCATATGTCAACAATTAGTTAACAATCACCCTAACAAAAAAAAAAAAAAAAAAAAAAAAAAAAAAAAACAATTAGTAGCTTAATGCATCAATTGCAGTACTCTCGTGAAAAATGACCAATTTCGATCGCATGTGATATTCAAATGACTTGAATTAAATATTTATAATCAACAATTACATGAACGAAAAATAAGACACGAAAGTGATCCTGAAAAAATGAACTGGTAATTTAGTAATTTTAATTATTTAATATATGTATTGGCAGTTCAAGTTCGACGGTCTTTTTTGTTCTAATACTGCATTTATTGTTTGTCAAATATACGATTGAATGTTCGATTTTTATTGTTCATCAAACACACATGAAAATCTTCGTACATAGGTAAGTACGCACATATGCACACATATACTTAACGCGTTTACTACATCCGAATATATTATTGATACAGCGACTTCCTGCATTAACGTATCGAGACATTGCCAAGCTGCACGTTATTAGAATTATTTTGAACATATGTAAGTTATTTTGAATGCGCATATAAATTTATGCGTTATTTTGAGATGAAGACGATGAAGACTGTTCATCAAACATAGGAAGACAAAGAAGATATTTATGTGATTGTGATTAACCAATTTATATTGATAAAGCCATGTATATCATTTTCAGGTGATATAAGTTTCGAAATAACATCATGCCCGTTATTAAGCGATTATAAGGTAAAGTTAAATTAGAGTTAGGGCTTTGGAGGTTTAGGTCATGCGTTACTGTGTCAATAAAACTCTCCAACATTACATTAGCGCTATCAGGGAAATGAGACATCAGGCTTCAAGTTCATTATTTATTACAGTCAAAGCTCGAGATAACGAAGTTTTTTACAAGTTTTACATAGCGAATATGAATATTTTGAAATAACGAAAATTTTTTGCATTATAAATATATTTAAACATAATTTTGTTATCTGATAACCGAATATTTCCATATAGCGAAGGCATTAGATCAGAACATGGGCTTTGCTATATTCGCCAGATTTAGCCACTGAAAAGCCTGATTAGTGACATATACTGTATGATAGTAATTAAATTACGCAACATATGTTGTTGTATCAGGTAAATAATATTTAAAAATCCAAATCTCGTTTTTTTTTTCTTGAGATCGCTTTGATAGCACGTGAAAAAATGATTCTTCTCACATTGGAAAAATTGAGCATCTGTGCTATGTCGATCACTAAATCGAAAATGCGTAAAGATCAGAATTTAGTGTAGGTTTTTATCTACTTGAGATTCGATATTTAATTACACTTATATAACGGAAATTAGTATTGAAAATTTTTATTTAGGAGTCAAATTGTAGTTGGCATGGTAAAATCTTTAGTTATTATCAATTTTTCTTTTTTTTTTTCTCGATATTCTTTCTCGAATTTCTTAGATCACACATACATGATCTTGTGATTCGATCAGCTCGATCAGCAACATTAACGCTAACGCTAAATACGCATTTCATTTTTAAATCATAGTCTTCCATATTAAATTAAGCACATCTCGATTTCAATTACCATAATAGAAATTATGTGAATTAAAGAAATCTCCGAAAAATTAATTGCATCGATATCTTACTCCGTTGTGTCAAAAAAACTTTTAGCGATCCTTTACCCTGATTTGTCAACAGTCACATGATGCGGCAATGTATTCTAAATTGAACTATGAAGTTCCGCAAGTTCATTATCTTCTATATTGTAGACCCTCCAGTTTAAGCATTCATAATTACAAATTATTTGAAACTAAAATCACACGTGTTATTCCATTATAGTAGATTATTTATCAAACTACCCATCTTACATTTCTATTTATTCCGTTCACTTATATAAACTGAAATTTTTTTCTAAACAAAAAAAAATCAAAATCAAAAAACAAAAACAATAAAAAAATCAATAAAAAAAAACAATAAAAAAATGATGTATTCAATATTTATTATTACTATAATTTTATATTTAATATCGACTGTTCAAGCTGGTCTTGTAATAACAAATCCGTACGAAACTATCAATTGGAAAGGTGGAAAGAAACAAACGATAACATGGAGTGATGATAAACTATCGCCCTCGTTGAAGAGTTTAAATAGTTTAACTATTGGACTGTATCTTGGTACGTTCTTCATGACCATATTCTTTAAAGAACATACGAAATGTTCTGTCCGTTCAAAGTTGAATAGTTTAATAGTTTAATGTCATTCCCCAGCCGAAATTATCATTCAATAATCATGTGACTAAAGTTGCCCAATAAAATTTGAATAAAATAATCGGTGACGTATATCCGTGTGCGTATATACGTACGTACGTACGTGTGATCAAATATTAACGTTAAATAACTAATCAACCTTGAACGGCCTTAGAGTTTGTTAATTATTGTAAATACATTGATCATTGATGAATTAAACTTAAAATTTTAAATAGGCAATTCAGTGAACCAAAGTCTTGTAGCTGTGTTAGGCAAAAAAGTTAAAGGTACAAAACGAAAGTTCGAATATACAGTGCCTAAAAAGGTTGGTCCACCAGGCGATTCCTAGTAAGTTATTACATTAAACTTGGATATTCTTGCAAATTTTTTTTTCTTATTTTAATCAATTTTTATTTTATATTTATTCTATTTTTTTTTTTAAAAAAAAAAAAAATCAGTTTTCTTATATTTTCTCAAGTTTTAGACGAACAAGAATATACTTCCTATTCCGGTCATTTCAGCATCAAGGGTGTAAATGGTCCCAGTCCGTCACCGAGTTTGCCAAATAATACCGACAGTTATCCTTCTTATCCTTCTGCCTCTTCATCTTCTCTTAATAGTTTACCATCTCCTACTACTAATACTAATACTACATCCACGTCATCTTCTCCAAATGATGATGGTTATGGTTACAGTAATGCAAATAAAATCGCAAGTTCTGCTTTTGGATTTAATGGAAAATTGGTAATCGCTGGCTTGGTTTTGGGCATTTCTTTTATATTTTAAATGCTTACAATTAAAAACGTGTTAGATGATCTTCATAATACCATCAGAACCCTCTACCTTACATGCATGATTCTCTTGGGCCCAACTATTTAACACTTATAGATTTTACCTTCCTAAATGCATTACTTCTCTTGGGCACAACTATTTAACATTTATAGATTTTATCTCCCTAAATGCAGTACTTCTCTAAATGCTCGTTTGACTCAATTTTTATATAAATTTTCGTTTTTAAAAAATTTGCATTTACATAATTTTCGCATAATTTCTTTTTTCACTTAATAAAGAAATCACTTTTTTAATTAGAAGTCTTGATAAATCGCATAAATGTGTGCTAACTTCAATAATGACTAAAATCTAAAGTATTTGATGATTTCACAAGATATCACAAAAGATATCACCAGCGTTTAAAGTTTGGTGTTCTCGGTGCTCTCAGTGAACACTACAATTTTATGATAATGAATTATTGAAAACTGTTCTCTATCTGAGACCATTTAGCAAATTAATTTTCTTATATTGAGAACATTCAAGTTTTTTGATAGCAAAGTCTGTCGCATATATTCAAAATTTGTATAAGAAACCACCTTTCATGCACTAGCAAAAAATGTTTCTCGTGAAATTTTATTATACATCTTACTGACCTCTAATCCTAATTTATTTACTAACCCTAACATGAACGAACTTCAAACATTTTTTCGACTATCACACAGTAGTGGTATTTTGCTGGTCTCTTGAGATACATAAACTATAATTCAATACAATCTAATGCAAGATTATCATGTATTTTAATAACTTTCAATATTGACTCACATGACATCTCTTGGGCAAACCCAATTAAACTTTGCAAAATCTGATTGTTTTTTTTATACATTAGATCACAAATCAAACAAAAATCATAGAAACTTAAAACATATCATTAGATATTTAAATGAACTACAAACTAATAAATTTCAATTTTAATTATTGTTTCTAATAATAAGGCGGCTTCTATACATACCCTCAATTTTGCTATTCGTACCCCACCACTGTAAATTAAAATTTGTTAAATTTTTAAAACTTTGAGCGAAGATATCTCGACAACCACCTAGTCAATTTCGATGATTTTTTTTTTATTTGAATTCTACAAATTCGTAGAATTTAAATAAAAAAAAAAATTCATCGAAATTGACTTGGTGGTTGTCGAGATATCTTTGTTCAAAGTTTTAAAAATTCAAAACATCTATCAAAATAAAAGTTGTACCAAGTTTCTCTCAAACTTTGATTGAAGATATCTTGACAACTGCAAATTCAATTTTGATAATTTTTTTTTAATTTAAATTCTATGAATTTGTAGAATTTAAATAATAAAAAGTTCATCGAAATTGACTTGGCGGTTGTTGAGATTTAAAGTTTGAGAAAATCTAAAACATCTATCAAAATATAAGCTGTCAAATTTTTTTCAAACTTTGAGCAAAGATATCTCAATAACCATCAAGTCAATTTCAATGAACTTTTTTTATTTAAATCCTACAGACTCATAGAATTTAAATAAAAAATTTATTGAAATAATTGTCAAGATATTTTTGCTCAAATTTTTAAAAATTTAAAATATCTATCAAAATAAAAGTCATGTCAAATTTTGAGTGAAGATATCTTAACAATCATCAAGTCAATTTTGATAATTTTTTTTTATTTAAATCCTATAGACCCATAGAATTTAAATAAAAAAATCATTGAAATTGACTTGGTAGTTGTCAAGATATCTTCACTTAAATTTTTAAAAAAATTCAAAATATCTAACAAAATAAAAGTTATACAGTAATTATAAAATACACTATAGATATTATTGGTGTTAATATGTTTTTGATTAAAATTTAGAGTTAGAGTGTAACTTTAGAGTAAAATAGGGGTTAGATTTAAAGGTTTAAATTTTAGTTAGCATAAGGTTTTGAGGGTTCTGAACATTTTTACTTAATATTCCAAAGATATGTTAACTAGTATGTTTTTGAGATATAGCAACTATAGTATTCAACACCTATAGTGCATTTTAGTAAACCTGAAGTTATATCAAATTTTTTAAAAACTTTGAGCAAAGATATCTCAACAACCACCAAGTCAATTTTGATGAATTTTTTTATTTAAATTCTTGTATCTGTAGAATTTAAATAACTAAAGTTTATTGAAATTGACTTGATAGTTGTCAAGATATCTTTATTTAAAGTTTAAAAAAATTTGGTATAGCTTTTATTTTGATAGATATTTTAAATTTTTTTTAAACTTTAAACAAAAATATCTCAACAACCATCAAATTAATTTCAATAAATTTTTTTATTTAAATTTTACAAATTTATAAAATTTAAATAAAAAAAAATTGTTAAAATTGACTTGGTAGTTGTCAAAATATTTTTGCTCAAAGTTTGAGAAAAATTTGATATAACTTTTATTTTGATAGATGTTTTGAATTTTTAATACTTTAAGCAAAGATATCTTGACAACCGCCAAGTTAATTTTAATAATTTTTTTTATTTAAATTTATAATTTTGTAAAATTCAAATAAAAAAAATGATGAAAATTGACTTAGTAGTTGTTGAGATATCTTTACTTAAAGTATTAAAAATTTAACAAATTTTAATTTATAGAGTAGAGTATAAATAAAATTGAAATATATATAGTAGCCACTAATAATAATTATTTTTTAATAAATATTACTAGCTTACAATATATAGTTTATAATAGCAGCAAAATTTAAAAATTATATTGTATAACTCTAAACAAAAATTAAGTAATATGATTAGATAATAAAACAAATTAATTTTTTAAAAATTTAAAAAAAAATTTTTATAATTTTGATCAAAATTATAATAAATTTAGTCAGAATTATAGTAATTTTGACCAGAATTATAGTGGCTAATTTTAATTTTATTAATAAAAATAATTAATTTTGAAACCTTTTAAATGTATTAAAACTCAATAAATTAAAAAGGCAACTTTTATTGGTTTAGGCTATAGATAAATTAGTCTAAGTTTTTTCTTACTATCTTTAGATATAAAGTTTAAATAGATTTTTTCTTTGTAAAAAAGTTATATATTCTTTCTTTATAAAAGAGTTATATATTATTTTTTTGTAAAAAAAATAAATTAAATTTTAATAAAGTCAAAGATATGGTCTTATAATTAATATTCAAAAAAAAACAAACTTTTATAACTTTTATTTTTAATATTCTTTTTTTGCTAATCCTCAGTATACAAATTTTTACAGAATAACAAAGTACAATTTATGTCAGAACTCAAAAATAATACTAAGAAACAAAGCTTATATGATTAAACAAGAAAGAAAAGACATAAAACAACACTTTGTCTTTTAGAAGACTAGAGTTAAGAAGTTAAAAACTAGCAAGATATAGAAGAA